TAATTGTTCCTTTTCAAACTCATTTTAAAGCCTCACCCAGTGACAGAATAATGGCTCGAATAGGACACATGCTTCAAGCCAAAAACACATTCAATTAGTACAGCAGTTTTTAACTGCTACCTGGCAAAGACAAATCCATAGGCCTAAAGTATTCCTACTTAAACAAATACAAAACAGATACAACACTGAATGGTATAAGCAGAAACGTTTTTGAAAAAAAAAAAAAAATATTTTAAGTGTAGTTGACACATTTTTAATGCCTTGAGGTTCGTATTCTAGGGAGTCCCCACCAGGGTCCAGATTTCTCTATTATAGAGCCAAATCATAATGATTTAGAATAACTATCCTGTCAGAACCTGCTGCTGCAAACTTTCACTTTAAGCAAAACTGAAATCTGCTGTTGCTTTGAGGTCAGAATAAAAACAATAATGTTTGGAGAATTCACAGGGAGGCTTTAAAACCAAGCATTGCTTTTTCTTTTCATTTTTCAAAAAGAATAGAGAACATGGCATTCAAGTCAGACAGATTAGTTTTGATCTTTTCAAGCTTCAAGTTTCTAAATGGTCCAGATTAAGAGTCAGTGTATAAACAATATGGATTATACAACTAATCAGAGTAAATACAAATTAATGAATCTTAGACTCAAATTCAAACTAGAAAGCTCCTACCTGCTACCAGTCTCATCATCATGAGCCTCTTCTCCAGCCTATCCACACAGCTCCATAACTTCACATAAGCCAATCGCTGTCCAGGACATCCTCGCTTTCCGACTAAACCCCAACCCTCCCCCACCCCCTCACCACCTTCATTCTACTACCCTCCCTACAGCTCCCCTCGTTATCCAGCTTACAATCCTGCACCATTGTCTCTAACGTCATACAAAATGTAAGAGAACAGTAGTACATTTTACCGAAGATCCACTGTTAATTAATAAACTAAATGCAGTTTTTAATTCTATTTATTTAATTATGACTGTTTTCTGTTTGAAACTCAAGACTATTGTGTCAGACCCCAAACAAAACATCTTCATCAAGGAAATATATGTTGGGATCTGGAGCCCTCCAGCACACCTGAAGCTCATCAGCCCATCAGGAGACCTTCCTACATAAGCAGCATCCAGACCTTCCTTCAACACCGCAGTGTTGACCAAGTTTGGTTAGCGAACCTGAGCCTCTGTTATTCTGATAGAATCTTAGTTGTCTCTAGAAAGAAACCTGATTCTAATCTGCCTCTGTCTTCTTGCTCACAGGAAACCTGTCTAAGTCTAAAGCTCTGGATGAGATTTGCCTGTAAACCTGCCTGCCTGCCTAAGGGAGCCAAACCTGAAGATCTCAATCTGGACTCCTCCTGCTGCTCTCAAGGAAGAGCTGGAATCTCAAACCAAGGTCTGCCACTCACAAGTCAGAAGCTAGACGCTGCTGCTGCTGAGCACTCTGCTGAACCAACAGTCTCTGGACCCAACCGGTTCCCTCTCTCACAAAGATCAGTCTGGACCTCTTCAAGGTATATTCTGAATAATTTAAATTCAACAAACCATCTGACTGCCTGGCTAATCAAACTATCCGTCTCTACAGACATCAGTGAATCCAGTCCCGGACCAGTGCCTGAACCAGTTCATGTTCTTTGTGTGAAAACCTTCAATAAACTCTTTTAAACTTTTACTCTGCTTCCAGTGGTGTTCTGCATGTGGGTTAAGTCTCTTAAGCCAATCATGACAATATATGCTTAAACAGAAGAATTTTGCTTACAGGTTATTTTTAGAATTTACTATTCATCTAATCAATTATACTTGTTGAAACACAATTTCTAGTTTAGTGAGTATATTGATTAATTGACTTTCTTGATCTCACTGTGGAGAAATTTACTTGTTACATCGTTTTATGTTTTTTTTTTATATATAGTAGGATAATTATACAGGGTGTTTACGTAGGTATTTATATGGATTTATATTTATATATAGTTATTGCACTGGGTATCAAATAGTAAAATTGCACATTATACATTCCACAAGTTATTGCCGTTGTGTCGTATTGTAGAGTCCGGTGGCACCAGTGTTGGGAAAGTTCTCTTTCTACGTGAACTAGTTCAAAGTTCAGTTCACACATTTTAAAATGAACTAGTTCAATTCATAATTCAAAATTTTGAACTAAGTTCACAGTTCCAAAAAAAAAACTAGTTCATAGTTTTTTTTTGTTGTTTTTTTTTCATATATTGCTCAATTACACCATAGCCTACTGTAGAACCACAGACAGCAATTATTTTATCAGTTGTAACACTGAAACTGTGCGTCAGATTTCGTCTTCATATCCAGTTTTGAATCCTTATCCAACCAGGATTTACATTGAGGGGACAGCATTTCCCCATTGTTGCTTTAATGCTTTGTTGCTGTCCATTCACTTCACACTAGTAGCAGTAGTAACAGTATATTCTCAAAAAACATCAGGAAAAATGTGCTGCTTGTCTTTAAGGTGTAAATGTTTTTTTTTATTTTAATATTTTTTTCCATTTGAAATTCCATTTCAATACATACTAAAAAGGAATACTGGAATCCTGGAAAATTATACCAGGCAGGTTTAACAAACAAGTTACATGAATAGTAAAACCCTCAAGAACAGGGGTCTTCTATGTTTTCCAGACCAAGGACCCCCAAACTGATGGCGAGATGGAGCGGGGACCCCCTAACTATATATTTTGTATGAAATTGTGTCCTATAGTCACTCTATTACAGATGGAGTAATGTAAAGAAATCAATTTCTCCCTGGGATTATTAAAGTTTTTCTGATTCAGATTCCTGGTTGATGGGACATGTTGTGAAGGAAACGGTGCCCAGCTTGAAAGAGCTCCTGTGTGTCGCTGAATGTGTGCATTGAGGACTGAAAGACATCTTCTGCCTCCATTTATCTGTTTACTACAGTGTGTTGATTTCATGTTAATGAGTATTTAAAGACATGTCAATTAGTGGGGAAAAAAATTGCAGGGGGGAATATAAAAATATCAACTAACCATGCAGACCCTCATGCAGTACCTCCGTGGACCCCCTAGGGGTCGCGGACCCCCTGTTGAAGACCTCCGCTCAAGAACATTTTACTAACACAAACTGAGGGACCAGGCTGAGGTAGGAATTTAAGGTTACTGAAGTGCGGATTTTTTTACTGAAAGCCGGCGGGCAAAGTTTGCAGAGAAATGTAAGATTGTTTCCATCATCCTCACCGACCACCTGGTCATAAAACTGTTTTAAGTGATCATACTGCTGCTTTTTCGCATCCACGGTCGCCTCCATGCTGCTGTGGCTTCCATGCTGCATTTAGTTTTGATGACGCACGCGGCTGTAGGCTACGACGCTGGTAGCTGGTGTTGCCAGATTGGGTGTTTTTCCCGCTACATATTAAGGCCTGTTTACGGTGTGATTTAGAGGGGTTTCACCTGGAGGGCTCTATAGAAATCTGGCAACCTATTGAACGGAGTTGAACTGAGAGAGCATGCCGTTCACAGACACCAGAATGAACAAGTTCACAATAACGTTCATCAGGCAGTAATGCAGTACACGTTCGCCCAAAATATGAACGAGTTCATGAACTTTCGTTCAATGAACACGTTCAGGCACAACACTGGGTGGCACCAGGTATGAATGACCTGCAGTAGTGCTCCTTTTTACAAACAGGGTGTAAAAGTCTTTCACTAAAGGAGCTGCTCAACTTCTCTAAAGCCTGGTGCAGAGGGTGGAAGGTGTTGTCCATGATGGATGTAAGATTGGACAGCACCCTCCTCTCAGCCTCTTCCTCCACTGAGTTCAAAGTGAAGCCTAGGACAGAAGTAGCCTTTTTAACTAGTTTGTTCAGTCTCTTTCTGTCCCGCTCTGTGATGCCAGAGGCCCAGCAGACAACAGCATAGAAGAGGGCTGTTGCCACCAAAGAGTAATAGAAGGTTTTAAGCAGGGGCCTGCTCACTACAAGGCTCTGGCCTTTCTTATACAGGGCTTATAACAGGATTTAGTCAAATTAATTTGGATGATCACTGCAAATTTACATTAGCCAACAATTAAATGCAACATCTACATTCAACCCATTCGTACGGGTTTTGGTCAGGGACCCATAGGGGCAGGTTGTAAGTTCTGAATTGGGTATTTGCACTCTTCTTAGAATGCACCACTTTGTCACCTTTCCTGTGTAAATGAAAAAGCCCCTTTCCATTCATGACAGGACTCCAAATAAAAAAGACACAGCAGGAAAAAGCTGTCAGTTTGAACTTGTGCAGCTAAATTTAATATTGATCCAAAAGAGAAATTGTTGTAACTTTTAAAGTGGTTTCTCTAATGAGTTGTTGTACTGTAGATGTTGTTTGGCCCTAAATCTATATCTATGCCATGAACAGTATAAAAAAGATGTTGAAAGCTTTTTTATAACCAAACCCTGATTTTAATCTCATCTCCAGCCTGTCTGCTGTCCTAGAAGAGTAGCCATTCAAAATTACCCCACTTTCCTTAATGGTGGTCCTTGGCTGGGGCCCTACAATTCCTTTTCAAACATCAACCTTTGTACTATAATATTCTTCCTGTCATAATTTGTGGACATCAAGAACTAAAAAGAATCATCATCTACTGGTCAGACCATGTAATTCAGTTAAACGGTGGAGTCAGAGTTAAAAAAAAATATGCATGCACGGGAGAAGCAGGTGGCCACTCGAGTTGTTGGAAGTTGGAGGTGATTTTGCTGGGAGTTGCAGGGAAGTGGGCTGCCATTCAGCTGGCGTTTGACAATTTGAATGGCTGCTACCGTAGATGGATACAGACAGACATACAGACAAACAGTCCTAAGGAACAGAAATGTATACAAAGTAAATTATGAAGCTATAATTTTTTAATACAAGGATTCAGACATTGGCTTGTTGCAAGCTAAAGCACCAGTGCAACCCAGATGAAGGTTAGTTACAGTGTTGACACTGGCATTGTTTAGTTAATGATTTGCAGCCTTAGACTGTGCACTATGTTTGCACTGTGTACACAATGTTTGCTTGCTTCCTGGAACCCTCCTGATAAGTTTCGGATCCTGCTGGGTTGCCTGTGGTCTCACCTAAGTCGTGTACAGTTCAAGGCATGGCTCCAACACTGGTGAGTTCCTCTGAACTCTCTAAATAATAAAAAGGTGTTTTATACGATTTATTTTGTATTTTAAATTATTCTTGAATCTTTTTTTATTAGCTTTTAGATTAAGCAACAATGGTAAGGTGCAAAACACCTTTGGTTCATTTGTTTTTATTCAAGGCTCGCAATGAGTGACTTAACCCTTACATTTCTATGTTTGGCTGACAGCGTCGTGGAATTTTTCATTATAATGAATATAAGTTCTAATTTTAAATTCTTATAAATACTTTTATTATTTCAAGCAACATCATCCTCAATGAGAAGATATTATCTGTACACTAGAAAAATGTAATCAATGGGGCTACTAAAATTGAAACCATTGTATTCTCACATTATATGCCTGTAGAAACAAGATAACATAATAAGGTTATGCTCAATCCCAACAATGAATAAAAGTGAGTCCAACCAGTAGTAGGTATAAAATAATAATAGCTTTGGGTCAGTTTGGAATATGGAAGCAAGGATGTGTAATGGTAAAACAGGATGGTCAAATTAGCATCGTTTGGCTGGACGTAACAAGCAAAAGTAGGAAAACCAAAGTTTTGGTACAAAATACACATGGGTCCTAGCTTCTAGCCTCAGAAGTCTCATGCTCTAAGACAACAAGCTATAAACCTCACCTAGTCACTGGGTACTTGATATGGGTCCATTCCAACAGCCTTCATACAGAATTTCAGCAGTTGAGAATCTGCCAATGCTTCATTTAGACAGAATTTTCTTTAAAGAAAAGATCAAAGGTGAAGACCAAATTATGCCATTTAGTTTGAAAATTAGTGTGTCAAACAGATCACTGCAGTACCATGGCTTCTGGAGTCTTGGCCCAAGGCTGATCTCATTTGGGTGCTTCCATCTCTGTGTCTCTTTACTCTGGGGTAATTTGGATATTTGGGGCTCTGGTCTCCTCTCTGTCAGCCTTGGCCTCTTTGGGTTGATTCTGGGGCTCCTCATACCTGCTATCTACCTGCTGAACGAGTCCTATACCCCTGGAACAGTCGTCTTTTAGTGGTAGTGGAAAAGTCTCGCTAAACCTTGTCAAATGACATGGCAAATGATGCAGGTTAAAATTGGCTTAGAATTGTTGGGCTCTGATCGGCATGCCCTCGAGTGCAACGTATGTACATCACAACATTGTACACGATTACGAAGCGGTAACTTATGGCAACAGTCATAATGGCCTACTTGTGAAAGCAGATCTGTTGGGATACTATCCAGTACAAAAATTTCAATTCTCAATACTATAGTGGCAAACAGGACACAAATTATATATCTACTTAACTCTTAATCTTTTTTAAACTCTTTTGTATGTGTTTTTTTCTACTTAAGTTTGACTGTGATGCAAAGCCAGGGGATCTGATAGAAATCGTTGGAGGGATCTATCACCACTGGGCTGTTTTTATTGGAGGAAATGAAGTGGTTCATTTGATTCCTTCAAGTAAGTAAACTGTCACATTTTAGGACTATAAATAAGAGTATAACAATATTCTACCTAATTTTGTCTTTAATTAGGTTATCATGGTCATCTACAGATTACTAATTATTAGGGATGTGGTTTTTAGCTTTATAAGTATAGTCTTTTATCATATGCTCTTTTAAGCTCATGGTGAAGGTGATCTGGGCGAGCTGTTCACCTACCTTGACAGCAGTAAATGTAAAGTCAGGCGTCAGAAGATCTGGGAAGTGGTTGGGTCCAAAACATTCCATGTGAACAACCTACTGGATGACAAGTATGAGCCTCATGACCCCAGCACTATTGTCAGCGATGCTGTGAAAATTGTGGGTGAGGAGCGTCCCTACAATACTGCCACTCATAACAGTGAACACTTTGTCACTGAGCTTCGATATGGAAAACCAGAATCACGACAGGTGAGCGAATCTTTAAATAAATACAATAGTTTGCACCATTAACATCACTAATGGTCCATTCAGGATGTCTTGCCTCAATAATAACAATAATGGCACTATTAGTGTGACTCCTTTAATAACATTTAAAGCCAGTTAAATTATGTCCTGATGGCTCGCAAGGTTTCAAATTTTCTCCAACTTTAGATTTATCAGATCAATGAAGGTGTTTGTCCCTAAATACATTTGTAAATTGTTGTTCATCAGTTGTTTTGCTACCTTTGAAGTAGGACTTATTTCTCTCTTAGAGACTGAAATGGCTTTAAAGGTCACACATTTAAAGGAAAACTCATTCATCTCAGCAATATAGAACTTTTCTCAACAATGATGCATGGATGTTTTCATTGGTCTACATTTGTATGAATGTTAGACAAATAATGAACATGCACCATCCTGGATCTGCAAGTTGTATTCAAGGATGAAATATATTCAGAGGGTCAGAGGGTCACAGTTGACTTTCTGATATCTACCTTGTTTTATTTTTGTTGGGAGGGGGGGGGTTGTTTTCCATGTCACAGAAGTTTGTCACAGTTGAATGGCAGTTTTTAGCTCTTAATGGTTCTTAAATCTGATTTTTTTTGCTTATTGTATTGGTAACTTTTTACTGGCCTAAAACAGTATTATTTAATGCTCATTAAATGTCAAAAAGAAGAACATGGCTATATCTCTTTATCAATTATATCTTGTTTTAACCGTATTAAAGTTGGTCACTAGCTCATTCCATGGTAAAAAAAAAATGCTAATGATGGTATTGACGACTCTTAGATATGATTGCTTGTATAATACAATTGTACTTATGATATGTTTGTAGTATTTAAATAACAGTAACATGACAGAGTGCCTTTGTTTGTCTGTTTTATTTTGCAGGTTCAAAATGCTGCTGTGATTGGAGGTGTTGCCACAGCTGGTGTAGCAGTTGCAGTTCTGGGTGCTGCCTTGTTCTCTGCCTTCCACAAAAATAAAAACAAAAAATAATCCATAGATCCATGTCGATTTATGAGTAAAAGTACCATTGCCTGTGGTGTTTCTCTTCTGATCCTGTTCTGCTGAAGACCCCATTGGATGGCTTACTGCCTTATTTATCTAATAAAATGTCCAGTGTTCTATTATCAATCTAACTTCAGCTCCATCAAGTAATGTTGATAACTAGCAGCTGCTAAACTGAGTTAAAGAATCACATAAGTTAACAAAAATCTCTAAAGATCTTAATTCAAATCCCCAAACAATCAATATGTGCCAGTCTAAAATTATTACTAACATTAAATCTGCAAAACCTTGAGATAAGACACATTTCAATTCTGATACCCAGTAGATAATTGCACTTTTCTTGAGTGTATTTCCAATAAGTGCTGCAGTGAGTTGTTTTGAAGTATGATGGTCATGGCAGAAAGGACATTGTACTGGTTCTTGCTACCTTGAGTAAAATAACAAATGTTGATTTCCTTTTAGGGAATGCATTGGCCTTCACACTAGAGGAGGAACCTCGTCCTCCTAAATATTTCACCAGTGTGAGATTGAAATCTACGACATCATATCTGTACACACCTGGTGTTCAAACCCTGAAGAGACAAAGTCCAATACAAATAATGATGTAACAACCTCAGAAAGTCATAATCATATTTAAGAAGTTGGGCATTAACCAATCTGTTTGCTATCACTTCATCATCAAGATAAAGGTCAAATTTTTATGCATACCCATGTGTATACATAAAGTTTAGTATTATACAATATAGTGGCAAGAATACAGCCTTTAACTAAGGTTAGACATAGACTATAGAACAGAGAGGCCTTTTAGTGTGGGCATTTCAGTCAAAATATAGCAAAAAATGTTTCTGCATATTCACAGGACCAGTAAGTACAGTAATAATGACACCAAGTGTTTCAAATTTAGCTATTTTCATCCAACTGGGCAGAAAGATACTTGCCTTCAAAGTAAAGCTGCCTTTCTGTGAGGTTGCCCCCTTTTTCATATGTTGCCATATCACGCCATTCTGGAGGCTAAACAAAGTCCAAAACATCTAGCACCAAAACAAAAAAACAGCAAACCAAAAAAGCAGATTTTCACAATTTAGGCTTTAGCTTAGAAATGTTACTGCCCCATGTAGAATAGCGGAAGAGCAACTTAGTTTGAGTTTTAAGGAGAAATTATCATCGCATGTCTCACATCAACCCTCCCTGATTGCAAAACTTTTTTTCTTGATTTTAATGAATGAGCAGAATTGTAACATAATTTAAAGCTCAAAGTAGATTTTGCATACTACAGGACCTCTTATTTAGATACTTAGATTATTTAGTAATTTTAAGTATAATATTGACTTTGCTTCATCCTGAATACTCCCCCACCTTACCAACCATCTACGATATTGTTATAAGCAAAAAGGAAAGTTTGTAAATTATGAAAAGATCTGCTTTTGACACTTTTTAATAGAACCTGTAATATTCAATGTTGTAAAATAAAATCTATCAAATCAGTCATTGAGATTTTTTTAACTACTTCAACTCCAACTAATATTTGTTTTAAAGCCATCCGATAACAAAAGTTCCCAATGTACAAGAAACAAACTTTGAAGGTCATAATGACATAAACAACATGAACAGTCAATGTGTCATTTGGTTCTTTACCTTGATCAAAGTATCTTTAAAATATCAAGCTTTAGGTGCTTAGTTTTTTAATAAAATATACACTTAGAAGAAAATCGTTTTCTTTTTGCAATATGTTTAAATTATTTCTAAATTTATATACTAAGTACTAATTGGTCCCAGTCTTTAGAACTGACAGACTATCCTAATGCTGCTTTCTTGTGGTGTCTGGGTAAAAAATGTGTGGTGGTTGTAAGCGCTGTAAAGTGGACTTCAGAAATGATAAAACTTTTTTTTAATCTAGGACAAAGGAGTTGACACTGGCTGATCATCAAGCAAAAATTTAGCTAAGACAGTCAAACAAGCCGACAAATTACTTAATAAATCTCACAATTAAGAAAACTAATTTTCTTATTTCAAATCACAATACCTGAGAAACTTGAGATTAGCAAAAACTTATTTTAATTCATCTTCCACAAACTTCTCCGTGGCCGCTGCTGAATTTGATCAATTGTCAATTTTTCCTTTTTTTTTTCTTACCCCGCTGCCAAATAAAATTTGTCACACTGCAGGAGTCAGTTGCAGCTGCAGAGAGGGATTTTATTAAGCAATAACCATAAAATGAATCAAGTCTTACCTTCAGAAGAGCTCTGGTAGAATATTCTCTAAGATTTATCATTGTTATTAGATTATGAAACTTCATCAGAATGAGTCATAATAAAACTGTTTCACAAAGAGAAGCCATTGAATAATTGAAAAAATAAAATAAAATAAAATAAAATGTAATGTCGTTTATTCAGACATTTTACTTCATCATTACTCCATAACTCTGAAAATGGAAGAGTCAGGAAAGTAAACAGCGATGTTCCCTGTGGACATAATCTCTTTTAATAAGACCAATACATTGATGCAATATTTGGTGCCTAACATCTCATGAAAGACTGAATTCAGAGTGAAAAAATATAAGGCAGAAAGCAGACATTTGTAATAGTAATATTCCCCAGTGTCTTCATGACTCAAGTCTGAATTGTTAGTGAAATAATATGACTTGAAGTTTTGTCCTTAGGCCTAATTGAACATATGTAATTACTATCTTTATATAATTTAATATTTCATTCAAAATGCAAAAAGAAGCTGTTTCATTATGTTTACAAAATTGGTCATTGATAACACTTAAAAAGAAAGCTGCATTTATGTTCAAATGAAAATAAGTATATATTAACACCTCCTGATGCTGAGTTTATAAATAAATCATCTGAGCTGCCTTTTCATGATGACATTGTAAAGATACAATGTCACATTTAAAGCAGAGGTATCACTAAATTATAAGGATGTAGTGGTTCTAAAACATCTAACGAAAACTGGAATGTTGAATTTTCACTATTTGAACAGATTTAAGAGAAGTATCTTAAAATGTAAAGGTTTTAAGCAACCATCAGATTTTCAATACTGCACAATAACAAACACAGGAATTCTCAGCTTAATGAATATATACACGCAACTGTCAACCCCCTTGTTGAACCGCCACCTTAATGTGGTGGAGGGGTTATAGTGCCCTGATGATCCCACAGGTTATTTTGTTGGGGGCTTAAATGTCCTTGGCAGGGTCTCCCAAGGCAAGCAGGTTGTGGGTGACTGGTCAGACAAAGAGTGGTTCAAAAGATCATTTAAAAGACCTATGATCATAAGAAGATTGTGGAGGCTTTTTGTGATCATGGGGGCTAATATTTTATCCTATCTACTGTGAGTGACAAATGTGAAAATGTAAGGTTTTATAATGGAGAGCTTTAGCCCTTCTCTACATTTGTGTAACTTTTTTTGCTGCTGTTCTTTTTTGAAAGGCTGTAGTCCCAATTAGAACAGCTTTGTTAATGTGCATGTCCAATGCATAAGATCAAAGGCTGTCTGGCTTCAGCACAGAGCAGAGCTTTTTTCCTAGCCTGGATACTGTTCTTACTGTTGGCCCGGCAAAAGTTGAAAGGATTGCAGCTAGGAACAGGAGGTAGGAGCTACAATTTGAGATATTCAGAAAGTTCAGAAGTTCTTCAGAGTCCTACTTATGATCTGATTTTTTAGTTGCAGGTGTGTTGGAGCAGAGAGGCAGGTGCAAAGCTGGAGTCTGACACTTTTTTTCCCCATAACATTCAGCCTCAGCTAAAACCTATTGGTTCCATAAGTCTCTAGGGCCTGTGGTCAATGGACTTTTAACAGGTTAAACAACTGCATAATGACAAAACATTAGACAAAACATTTGTTTTCTTTCTCGTGCCAATGATCATAATTTCTAATACATATTTTGAAGAACCTTAATTTGGATTAAAATTTGTTTTTATTTTACATTTTCTATATTTGAAATGTTTTTTTTTTTCTTTATTTTGAAAAACTGAAGTTTATTGGGAAACAGGAAGTAGTATGTACAAATGTGTCATGTTGGTTCAAACAGAGAAAGGAAGTGGGAGAGCCTTCCATTAATAGCGAGCCTTCCTATTTGAATCGTGAGCTCTACCACACCCTTCTATGGTAGGGTTGTGTCAGTCTGCAGATAGACATCAAGAGAGCCTACTTCAAATGCAATCCCTAATTGACTATTTCCCCAGAATAACTTACTTGAACAACAAATTCTTTGAAAAACACTCTTCAATGAAACTTAGTTTTACATTTTTTTTTAAATATTTACTTTGGATTTTTGGTCTTGGGTCTTGGCTTAGGAAGATCTAGTATTCTGAGGGGTCCAGTCTTGGTCTTGGCTTCAGAGGGTGTAGTTTGGTCTTGGAAGTCCGGTCTTGTTCTTGAATCTTGGCTTTTGAGGGTCCAGTCTTGGATTGGGTATTGGCCTAGGAAGGTATTGTCTTGGTCCTGAGTCTTGGCCTTGGAGGGTCCAATCTGGGTCTTGGATCTTAGCCTGGGTGGGTCCAGTCTTGGTCTTAGTCCTGGAAAGTGTGATCTTGTTCTGGTGTCTTGGCCTCATAAGGTCCAGTATTGGTCTTGACCTTTGAAAGTCCAGTCTTGGGTCTTGGCCTCAGAGGGTATTAGATTAGCCTTGGTCTCAAAATAACAATCTTAACTTTGTAACTGTTACAAAAGGGACAGTCCTTACAGATCAAGTGAATTTGAAAAATAAAACTACTGAATATTTTTACCCACTGCAGGTCAAAGATGATTCCCCATAAAGACAACAGTGGTTTGTGAACCTGGTTTGTTTTGCTATCAACAAAACACTAGACCACAGTGTGTAACTTAATGTCGCATTAGAATTATCCAAATGTTCCGTAAAAATTCAAAAAATATCCACTGGACTTGGTTTCCAAGATCTGAAGATGTTTCACCACCTCTCCAGGAAGCTTTCTCAAATGTAATGAATTGAGAAAGCTTCCTGGAGAGGTGGCGAAACGTCTTCAAATCTTGGAAACCAAGTCCAGTGGATATTTT